GGGGCCTGGGGACGGGAGACGTCCTGGCTCTGGCCTCCCCGGGGCTGCTCGTGTGCGTCCCGTCGCCGGCCCCTGCACCCAGGCAAGAGGTGAGAAGTCCCTTCCCCGGCGCAGCCTGTGTGGACCCGGCCCCGCGCTGCAGACCCCCCTGGGCGCGGGCACGGCCATTGCTGGTGTTGCGGGGGCCCGGGCCGTGCTTCGGCCAGGCCCCGACACGGCTACGTCTAGGCACCGTCCTGCTCCCTGCACCCGCGACCAGCCTCCCTCGTCCTGGGGTTAGCTCCAAACTGCTTGTTGTCCCGGTGGGCAGGTGCTGATGGCGCCGCGTCCCTGACCTGTCTCCAGTGCTTCTCCCCACGCCGTGCTGCCCTCTCTGCTGGTCTCCCGTTTTCTTCCAGGTGATTAGTAAAAATACTCGATGGCATTGGGCAGAGCAGACCCCTGCCGGACCCCCGTGGGCAGCATTAGCACAGGGTGACGTGCCTACTCGGCATCCCCTGCGGCCTACCGGTCTGCCTGCCGGACTGGGTCCAGCACCCATTACAGAGTCATAAACAGTGACGGCTGGAAGGGACCGCAGGGGCCACTAGCTAGTCCAACCCCTGCTCCAAGCAGGACCAGCCCAGCTACATCATCCCAGCCAAGCCTTTGTCTAGCCGGGCTTTGAAAACCTCCAAGGATAAAGATCCCACCACCTCTCTGTTTCCACCCTCCTAGCGAGAGTTTTTCTTGCTATCCAACCTAAACTCCCCTCGCTGCAGCCGGAGCCCATTGCTCCTTGTCCTGTCGTCTGCCCCCACTGAGACCGGCCCCGCTCCATCCTCTTTGCAACCTGCTGCAGGGAGCTGAAGGCTGCTGTCAAACCCCCCCCGGTCTCCTCTTCTCTAGACGATTTCAGGCTGGTTTGTTAACCACACGCAGAGCGGAGATGTCCTTTACTGTCTTGCTGCCAAGCCTTTTTATTGCCGTCAGGGTTGCCCGAGGCCCACACGGCCGGTGCAGAGCAGGGTGTGCTCACGCGGTTGAAAGCCAAGCAGGGAGTGTGAGAGAAGCTGCTCTACAAACCAAATTCACGTGGGAGGAAGTGAGGGGCGACCAAGCCCTTCCTGCCCCTGCAGCCCCACACCGAGATGGCGCGAGCCGCAGGGCAGAGGTCTGCGGCCCGGCCACGCGGGTTTGGTCGCAGGACGGGGCCAAGGCCTCCCCGTGCGGGGACTCCCGTCAGTACTGCACGTAGGAGACGCCCACGTCCCCCTCGATCTCCATCTGATCCACCTGGTTGTCGGGGATGCGGTAGTTGTAGTCGAACACGTGCCGCCCGTTCACCATGACCTGGTAGCAGGTGGCCATGCCCTTGATCTCCATCTGACGGAGGAAGGTTCGATGCTGGTGACATCCTGGGGGGGCCTGTGCCCCTAGGACGCTGCCCACTCTGGAGCCCGCCCCAGAGCTCGTGTCTACGCCTGCCCCCTCCGCCTGTTCGTGGGGGCCTGAGCCCCCCGGGGCCCCACAGCTCACCTGGAAGGCCTGCCCCGCCGCGAAGGGCATGGTGGAGACGTGCCTCTCCTCCGAGCCCCAGGACCCGCTGGTCTGGGTGTTCCTGACCAGCGCGCCCTCCCGCAGCCGGGGGTTGATGTGCAGGGCCGTGTTGCCCGTCAGGGCGTTCTTCAGGTTGACGTGGAATCTGGGGAAGGGGACGGGGTTGTTCACGGGGGCAGCCGGAGGGGCCGTTTCCCGGCCCCGGGCCTGAGGCGTTCCTGCCCTCGGCTTCTGGCAGCGCCTGTCCCGGGCCCGTCCTCCTCGGACGCCCGCAGCATAGTTTCTTCCAGGGGCCAGCCTGGCGTCCCCCGTCGGCACAGACTAGGCATGCATGAGCCTGTCCCCGGGCTGAGCCGGGCACACGCCGGCGCTGGCACCCACCTGTTGGCGTTGGAGGGCACGTTGCCCACGATCGTGATCTTGAGGGGCGTGTGGGGGCCCCTGAGGAGAGCGGCCTGGAACGGGACACACTGAGGAGAGAACGGGGGTCTCAGACCACGTGGCGCTGAGCAGGGGCCACCGAGCCCTGGCACCCGCCCCGGGCGGGCCCAGGCCCTCAGCAACGGGCTCGGGCTGTTGGCCACGGGCCACATCCTGCCGTGGCACCGGGAAGCGAGCAGCCCCTGCAACGGGGCTCAGGCGCCGCGTCGGGCTCGTGGGAGCTGAGACACGAGGCTTCGCGCTCCCCGGGCCCCTGGGCGCTGGAGCAGCGCTCGCTGGGCAGCCGTGCGCCCATCCCTGGCACCATCCACCACGCAGAGCCGGGAGCTTTGGCCCCGGAGGCGGGCGGGACGAGAGGACCTGAAGCGTCTCAGGGATGGGGGGCCGCTGTCAGGCTCCCACGGGTGAGCACCGTGGCCCCGGCCAGCTGTGTACTCACCGGGTTGGACACGGTCACAGGGCCCTTGCGCTGCGGAGACAAAGGGGAGAGGGGTCAGGGTGAGCCTGCGCGGCGCCGACGGAGCCAAGACCTCCATGGGGCCAAGCCTGCCCCTGCCACCATGCTCCCACCACCATCCTGTCGGCCTCGCGGGGGATCCTGCCCCATGCTCCCTTTCTTCCGGCGGCTCCTGCACCTGCACCCGGGCTCCGGCGTCTGACCGAGCCCATCCCGTGACTCCAGGCTCACGGCAATGGGAGGCTCAGATGCCTGCGGGCTGGCACCGAGCTTCCCCGGGGCCTGCACCTTTGGGGGATGCCCATGACCTGGCCCTGTCCTTCTCTGACACGACTCGGGGCAGGAGGTGGGCGCTGCCTGCGGGACCCGAACCCAGGCCTGGAAGATGTCCTGGGAGCCAGGGGACAGGGCAGCGCGGAGGCAGGGAGGGGAAAGCAGCCGCAGCCATGCAGGCCAGCTCCTAGCCGGGGCTTCACCCCCCGCCCTGGGCCAGGACAGCACCAGAGCCAGCCCGCCCAGCAAGCCCAGCAAGCGGCCCCTGCCCCGAGCCTCCCTGCACACCGCCAGCCCAGCAGGGCTGTCTGGCCCCGCGCCCCTGGCTCTGCCCCCGCAGCTTGCCCGGGGTCGGGCTCCCCGACGTGCCCCAAAGCGGCACAGGCAGGAGCCGCCCCATGCAGCGCTAGAGCAAGCCATACGTGGCAGGGGGGTTGGCGCCAGGCCGGGTGTTGCACCGTGGCCGCTGGGGCCCATCCTAGGCGGTGCTTTCCCTTCTTCCTCTGTGGAAACAGAAAGAGCTCAAAGCCGGGGCTGCGCGGCCGCGAGATCCCGGTGCCCGGGAGGGAAGCGCTGCCGTGACCCAAGGGCCCCCTTTGCTTCCCACGCTCCGCCGTGCCAAGAGCTCGCGCCCCGGACGGAGCTGCTCGGCCAAGGAAAACCCACTCTGCTCTAGTGGCGTGTTACATGCTTGCACACTCGTGCACCGCGGGTGCGACTGCCATGCCTGGGAAAGGGGCGTCCGTCTGGTGTCACAGCGCGGCAGGGCCGGGCGGGGGGCAGCGCAGCAGCAGGCAGGTTAGCTGTGGCGGGACGTGGCCCTGGACACGCGGGGCAGCAGCACCACGGCGCCGACGGGGAGGGGAACGCGCCCGCGGCCTGCAGGACCCCCCGGACAAGCCACCTGGTCCACGCCCGGCCTCTCCCCGCAGCCAGCCCCCGAGACCGCCCGGACGGGACAGCACAGACAGCGAGGGCCTGGCCAGCCCCCGGGGGCGTCTCCCTGACCTCCCAATTCGGGGCTGGGCGGGGGCTTTGCTCTCGCTTTGTTTCACCCCGCAGCACAGCTCCGGTCATGTGGAAATCCGTGGGTGTTTTGCCCCTGACTTTAGGGCTCCAGCTCTATATCCCCCGGCTTCCCTAAGTCACCCCGAGTCCGGGCCGGCAAGCAGAGACCCGGGAGGACAGGACGGGATAGCGAGGACGCGTTCAGGGATGGGGCAGCCATCCCTGTTTCCAGCTTCTCCTGCTGCGGGTCTCTTGCAGTGATCCAGTGAGTTTTCTGGGGATGCAGCACTGCACACAGAGGCCCAGGCCCTTCTCCAAGCACAGGCTGCAGCAGCGAACGCCAGGACCTGGGACTGGGGGCCTTCCCCAGGCTGCAGCCTTGACAGCCTCCCACCAGCCGCTCCCCCTGCCCGGCCCCAGGCACTGCGTGTACTCACGCCGGGAGCCGGAGGACCAAACATCTGATGGAAAATCACACTGGAGGCCTGCGGGGACAGACCTCCCGGCTCCGCCGCGCGGGGAGCCGAAGCCACGGGTCTCTCACTTGCCACGCGGCCCTGTCACGGAGCAGTGCCTCTCAGCCCTGCAGCCCTGGGGGTACTCACGCTGCCGGGGACCATCCCGTATGGTGGAGGGGCGCACGCCGGGTTCACCTGGATGCATGGAAATGCAGCACGTCAGAGCCCTGTGCCCGGGGGCTTGTGGCATGGGGCAGCGCGGGGGCGATACTCACCCCAGCACCTGTGAAGCTGATGCAGTTCACGGTCAAGTCCCCGCTGATCTCCAGGATCTGGACGCTGAGGAAGGGGACGCGGTGCCTGTACTCCAGGAACTGCTGGCCATTCACGGCCACCTGCAGCGGGGCGGGCGCGGGGTGAGGTCCGGGTCCTCACGTCGAAGACTCCGACCCCCCGCGCCAGCGAAGCAGGGCTGGTTTGTGGGCCCCGGCGCTGTCCCGCTCGTCACGCGCCCTGGCCTGGGTCACCAGTGCGAGGGGCCCCGGCCCCGGGGGAGGCACAAGGAGGAGCCGCGGCCTCACCTGGTAGCAGTGGCCCTGGACTTTGGTGATCATCTCAAAATAGGTGCTGCGCTGGAAGGGCATAACGTAGGTCCGCTCCTCGGCCCCCCAGTGCCCGCCCTGCTCCGTGTTGCACACGACCACGGGGCAGCTCTCGTCGAAGCGCGGGTTGAAGTGGAAGGCGATGTCGTTGTTCGCGCACCGCAGATTCACTGCGAACCTGCAGCAGGACGAGGAGGTGGCACTGGGCTACCCCCGCCACGCAGGGAGCCCCCAGGGACACGGGGCAGGCAGATGGTGGGTCGTGTGCCTGAGTGTACTTAGGAGTATACATGTGCACGGGCCCATGGGGTGGGGGGATGTGCCCACTCACATGTTTGTGGGACAGCCTATGTATGTGGTCACGGACATGTGTCTATGTGCTTCTGCTTGTGTGCGCGCAAGTGTGTGCATATATGCGCGCGTGCCTGTGTGTGCGTGTGCCTGCAGGCATGTGCATGTGTTTGCGCTTGCATGTATTCATGTGTTCCTGTGCACGTGTGCTTGCGCACAGAAGTGTTTGTGGCTGTTTCGGTCGTGCTAATGGCTCCTTCCTGCCACCGCTAAGCCCCGTCTCCCTGGATTCGTCTCCTCCCTGCCCAAGTGTTTGCATCGCAGGTCAATCCCCCGCTGCCTCCTTTGGCCAAACCGGGGAGACGGATCTCCTCCAGCCGCTCACTACGAGGCCGGCCTCCCCGCTCGCACCGTCGTGGGGCTCCCTGCTGCGCTCTCCAGATCCAGCGCCGTGGGGCTGGGAGAGAGCTCCCGAGGTCACATCCAGTCCAACCCCTGCCCGAAGCAGGATCAGCCCCGTCCAAACAAGCCCAGACACATGCAGCATCGAACCTTTTACTGAAGCTGCCGCCCAGCTTGAGGCAAGGCAAGGCATCACACAGGAACCTGGCACAGCAAAAGCACGGGGACTGCAGCAACCACGTCCTGCTGCCGTACAAGTTGTCAACATGCCTCAAAGACGCAGGCCGTGCCCCCGCGGCAGAGGGAGGCACCCCTCCAGGCCGGACCAGTCTGAGCAGGGGGGGAATCCCTTCCTGCCCCGGTGCAGCGTCCGTCTGAGCCCGAGTGCAGGGGCAAGACCCTCCCGCCAGGACCCTGCGGGGCTGTCCCTGTCGAAGCAGCCATGCACCCCAACACCTCTGACAAAGGCTTAAGAAAAACCCTGACGCCTGGTGCAGAACCAGGAGCACCGGGGCGAGACCGGTGCTGGAATCGGCACCCCGGCACGGGGCCCGCGCTTCCCAGAGGACATAGAAAAGGTGGCCAGGGAGAAAAGCTCCCCGAGAGAAAGCACTGGAGTTGTTGCAGCTCTGGGACAAAGGCGAAGCAGGAACAATGCCCAGAAGCGGAAGCCAGAGGACTTCCTGTGCGACAGGCAGACAAACGTTTCCCTGGGAGGGTGAACGGCTGCCAGCACCGGGCCAGGGTGCCAGCAAGGCTTTGGCTGCTTTCTGCAAGACGAGGGGCTGCGCGGGTCAGGCACGAAGGGACACGCGCAGCACCTCAGACCCTGCCGTGCCAGGACCTCGGGCCCATTTCCACGGGTCTCTAGGGCCAAACCAGCTCTCCAGCACTGTTCTGGCGGGGTGGGGGCCGGACACGACCTGCACAGGCAGCCCTTGGGCACTGTCTGTGCCGGGAGGAGCAGCGTTTGCTGCCCATGCTCAGAGCGGCATCAGCGTGGCTCTCCTAGGAAAGTGCTGGCGGAGCAGCCCCCATTCCTGCCAGAAACGTGGGGCTGCATCTGCCGTGGGGCTGGCGGGAGAGGGGCGTGAGAAGGGTTTACAGAACTAAATGGAGACGGGAAGGGAAGCAAAGGCTTCTTGTCTCGCACCAGAAGGGTCATGGCGTGAAAGGAGCAGGCTGGTAGTATATGACGGCCATAAGGAAGTTCATTTCACCTGGGGGGTAGTGATAGGGTAGAGCTCAGGGCTACCACGTGTGCAGGTTTAACCAGGTTTGCAATGGGGCTGGACACATGGCTGGAGGAAAGGGGCATCGCAGGCGAGTGAGGGGCACGCTCGCTGAAATGGAGCTCCCTGGACTCTGGGGGCTGCAAGGGAGAGAGGAGCAGGGGAAAGCCCTGCACAGACCCACCCTGCTCTCTGCTGCGTGGGGCACGGGAGCTGGACAGGAGGGACCCGGGGTCTGACGGTCTCTGGCAGCTCTGATGAAGCCAAGGAGCTGCTGCGCCAGGCAGGGGGCTCAGTGCAGAAGGGGGGGTGGGGGTCCCCGTGATGCTCCATGCAGCCACGGGGGAGTCAGGGGAGGGTGGAGGGGACGAAGGAGCCCAGTGGGGGTTAATGAGGAGGGGGCTGGGACCCTTAGGCGGTGACACGGAGCTGGGGGGCGCAGTCCTAGGAAGGGGCGGGAGGGATTGCGAGAGGATGCAGGACGGGGCCAGGCGGAGCTGGGCCCGGGAGCAACAGTGACGCCTCTCCCCGGGCGCCAGAGCAGCACGAGCACCCACCTCTTCCCCTGGGATCCAACCTGCCCCTGGATCAGCAGCATCTTGCCCTCCACCAGGCCTCCAAAGATGGGTCCGGAGAAGGGGATGGTCTGGAAAAAATCGCCCCCAGGTCATTGGGGCCCCCCCACAGGCAGCCAGCCTTGTGCTGGGGGCACAGGCCCCAGGGCTGGAGGGGGCAGGTGCCAGGAGCCCCCGGGCACTCACCGGGTTCATGATGGGCTGCTGGAGAGCCATGCCTGCTGCCTGCTTCCTCCGGCACGGGAGGTGGAAGTGAGGGGAGCTGGGACCGGCTGCTGCAGCAGCTGAGTTTCGTTTCTGGAGCAGAGGCCAGGGCGTGGGTGGGGCGCCAATCGCTGCCGCTTGCCTGGACCCTGACCTTGCACAGGGCCTGCAGCAGGGGCCGTGGCCCCGGGCCCCCAACCCGCCTGCAGGGGCGCAGAGCGGGTCTGGAGCCCCTGTTGAGCCCCCGGAGCTGCCGCTGGGCCCCGGCCCCGTGCCCCGCTCGGGGATGCGGGGGTGTCCCCAGCGAGCTCCCCGCTGCAGTTTGGAGGCAGAGCAGATGGCCCCTGCACGTCTCCCGTGGGACAGCCCCCAGTGCCAGCCGGACACCAGAGCCCGTGTGAGTGCACGGCTGTTTGGGCCGACCCGTGTGGACCTTCCCGCCACCTCCGCTGCCTGATGGCCACGGGGCTCCCGACAGAAGGGAGCAACAGGCTACAGTCGGACCTTGACAGGTTACAGGGATGGGCGGAGGAGAACAGGATGGGGCTCAACACAGACAAGTGCAAGGTGATGCACCGGGGAGGAGGAACCGGCACCATACCTACAGGCTGGGGAACTCCCCTCTTGTCAGCACGGAGGTGGAAAAGGATCTTGGAGTCATTATTGACTCCAAGGAGGGCCACTCGCATGATCAAGGGACAGCAGGGCAGGCCCTATGAGGAAAGGTTACAGGACCTGAACCTGTTCAGCCTCCACAAGAGAAGGCTGAGGGGGGATCTTGTGGCCTGCTATAAACTAGTCAGGGGGGGTCAACAGGCACTGGGGGAGTCCCTGTTCCCCCGAGCGCCGCCAGGAGTGACCAGGAATAACGGTCACAAGCTGGCGGAGGGAAGGTTCAAGTTGGACATCAGGAGGCGCTACTTCACGGTCAGGGCGGTGCCCACATCCCCCCACATCTTGGTGTCATCAGCAAATCTGAACACGGTGCTTTGCACCCCCTCATCCGAATCACTGAAGAAGATGTTGAACAGGGCGGGGCCGAGGACCGAGCCCTGCGGGACCCCACTGCCCTGCAGGTGTCTAATCAGACGAGTGGCTCGTCTTTAGACCCTCTCCAGGTTGTCCACATCCCGCTTGAATGGCGGTGTCCAGACCTGGACACAGTACTCCAGCTGTGGCCTGACCAGTGCCGCGTAGAGGGAGGATCACCTCCCTGGACCTGTTTGTGAAGCACCTACGGATGTACGACAAGGTGCGACTGGCTCTGCCGACTACTTCATCGCATTGACGACTCATGTTCATCCTGGGGTCAACCGTGACTCCGAGATCTCTTTCTGCCTCAGTGGAGCTGAGACGGTCACCCCCCAGCCTGTGGGTACGATGGCAGTTCTTCCTCCCTAGGTGCAGCACCTTGCACTTGTCTTTATTAAATTGCATCCTGTTGCTCTCTGCCCACTTCCTCAACCTGTCGAGGTCGGCCTGGATCTGGTTCCCCCTCTCCAGGGTGTTAGCTGCACCCCGTAGTTTTGTGTCGTCTGTGAATTTGGGCAGGGTGCTTCCCACCCCCTTGTCCAGATCGCCGATGAAGATGTTGAGCAGCACCGGCCCCAGAACTGAGCCCTGGGGGACTCCACTGCCCACATCTTCGCAGGCTGACACCGGCCCGCCACCACCCTCCGAGTGCGACCCCTGAGCCAGTTTGCTACCCAGTCTACCGCGTAATCGTCCAAGGCAAATCCCCTCAGTTTATTTATAAGGATGGTCTGGGATACCGTGTCAAAGGCCTTCCTGAAGTCCAGGTAGATAACATCCGCCTCGACTCCTGCATCTAAACATTTGGTGGCCTTGGCATAAAAGGAAACTCGGTTAGTCAGGCAGGACCTGCCTGCTATAAACCCATGTTGGTTGCCCCTCCGCGTCACATTAGCCAGCGGGCTCCCACACACGTGCTCCTTGATAATTTTTTCTAGGATTTTCCCAGGGAAAGATGTAAGGCTGACCGGTGTATAGTACCCCAAGTCCTCATTCCTCCTCTTCTTAAAGACTGGGACGACGTTAGCCCTCTTGCAATCCTCCGGGACCTGACCCGAGCACCATGAGTGCTCATATATCCTTGCCAGTGGATCAGCCACGACCCCCGCTAATTCCTTCATTACCCGTGGGTGCAGTCCCTCCGGTCCCGGTGATTTGAACACGTCCAGTCCCTCAAGTGTCTCTTTACCGTGTCGGCACTGACCGTCGGTCGCTGATGTTCCCCTTGTTGGTGTCCGTGATGCACATTGAGGGTTTGTCCAGGTTCGTATTTAAGAAGACAGAGGCAAAAAACTCTCACGACCCCCGCTAATTCCTTCATTACCCGTGGGTGCAGTCCCTCCGGTCCCGGTGATTTGAACACGTCCAGTCCCTCAAGTGTCTCTTTACCGTGTCGGCACTGACCGTCGGTCGCTGATGTTCCCCTTGTTGGTGTCCGTGATGCACATTGAGGGTTTGTCCAGGTTCGTATTTAAGAAGACAGAGGCAAAAAACTCTGCCTTGTCCCTGTTATCTGTCACTAAGCCCCCCCTGCCCGTCCTGTGTGTGTCCGATGGTACCCCGCACCCTCTTTGTGCCAGGCGGAGGGGCCAGCAGCACGCCTGCCTTCTCCCCGGCAAGCTCCTTTCCCTGACGATGCGTGCTAACGAGTCCAGCCCCAGCAGGCTCCTCGTTATTCAGTCATTTGGCAAAGGGGTGAATTCAGCAGGGTGGCAGCTGTCACCGCGGGGACCCGGCAGCAATGCCCAGGCCCCGCTCTGCAGCTCCCCTCCCATCTGAGCCCCCGTCGGCTCCCACCTCCAGGGGTGCCCAGGGCAGGACACGACTCCTTGGGCCAGTGGAGCCCTTGGCACGTGTGCACCGCCCTGCGAGCCTGGCGTTGCAGCCTGCGGGCTCAGGGATGGCTCGCTTCTGCCTCCAGGTCCCCGGACACGGTCGCCCGAGGCACCGACCTCCTCCCCGAGCCTCTGCCAGAAAACCTGCAGCTGGTGGTGTCCTGGGTGCGCCGGGAGGGGTCCTGGCCAACGGGGAGCTCACGTGCGGCAGCCGCATGCCTCTCTGCACCGCTGGGCAATACCAAGCTGGTTTGCTTCCGCACCGCCCATCGCTGCCAGCCCTACACCCTCGTCCCGTCCTCGCGGCCTGCCCGGACACCACCTGGGGTAATTTTCCTGCATTACTTTATTGCATCAGTGTTAATGGTACCCTTCGTTTGCTCCCTGCATTATTCCATCTTTCAGGAACTTGGCACGAGGGTAGGGAATTGGCTGAGGGACAGGCTTGCTCAGGTGCTGGCTTGATGCAAAAAAGATTCAATTTAAATGCATTTAAATGTGTGACTCATTGGCTTCACACACATAATCCACATGCCAGTAAAAGCATTTTTAATTTTAAGTAAAAAAATACAGTTCACAGCAAAGCTTTGACCTGACAAAGTCAACCCAGGCTGCAGGCCAGGGGCATGGAAAGCTCAGAGGTCCAAGCCCAGCCCTCCATCCTTCACGCCTTGCTGGGTTCAGCCCTTCCAAAGCCCGGCGGCCCCCGGGTCATGGGCACAGCCCTGCGGGAAAGGGCTGGACTCAGGGCCAAAGGGGTAACAAGCCTGTGCGATGTGCATGGAGTCGGCTGGGGAATGGCCCTGGCAGGGCAGCCCGGCGGCAGGCTGCTGCGGACACCGTCCCTGGAAGGACGAGGCAGGGGCAGTGCAGGCCCAGCCCCCCGCCAGGGCCCTGGAGCCGTTCCCAGCGGATGCGCAGATCCTGGAGGCTGACACACCCCCCCGCCCCCCCCCCCCCCCCCTGCCACAACAGCAGCCCCAGCGGGCACGTGGGCCGACACCCGCACCTCGGCCCCGCGGCTGCAGCATCGCCCCGGCCCAGCTTGGCCCCGGGGCCCCAACCGCAGGCTGGCGGGTAGCAGAAGGGCCCCCGCCGCCCCCCGGCAGCCGCTCCTGCCCCCGA